TTTTGTAACGGTTACATTCGGATTCTCTTCAGCTTCTTCGTCGACACCGTTCGTTTCAATGTCTTCCGGAGCAGCAAAGCCTTCCTGCAATTGAACACAAAAATTCAATATGAAATTTTTGAAGAAACGATTGTTGAAAATTCTTCCTTCGTGAAAATTGTAAACGGATTTTAAATGCTCAATCATCAGTTTGTGACGATCTCTCACCTCAACTTCGTACAATACATCGAAGATCGGTTTCGTTGGCACTTCCGCATTTTCGCCAGCATTCTGACAATACGTTTCAATCTTTTGCAATTTCAAGAAATAAAAGTTACGTTCCTTTTCGATTGATTCTATAGCTGTTGAAGCTTCCTCCAGCTGAAAGAGTCTATCTTAATCAATCGCAATCCGACAATATCAACATGAAATATTCGCAATCATGTACTGAATTATAATGTGTTGGCATGAAGAAGCAATAATTTTACAAAAAATTTGCTAATATCGATCAAAAGATTAAACTTGGGCAGTCATATCGCTCAGTACATTCACAGAATCTAGACAACGCTTCAAGCAAAACCTGAGTTTGAAGTTCTCGGCCGTGTTCCCGTTCAATCTGTAACGCATTAAGAGCAGCACTCAAATCTGAGGTTACGGCATGTGATGATGAAGTCCCATTAGTTGCTCTATTAACAGCTCGTGAAGTAGTGGCAGCTGGCGCTCGTGTACCGGTAGTATGCACTCCATTGGTTGGATTTGCTGGAAGGGAAAACATAAGTAAACTCATAATAGTCAGTGCATCTTCTCGGATGCTGTAGATTGAACATAAGTTGAGGGATAAACTAGAGCGAACCTTTTTTCACAGGCATTCGGACTGGTCTGGTTGGGCCAGTTGATACAGTAGCAGGCAACGGCTGCAAAACGACCAGTGATTAGGCGTAAAGATCGAGTTTGATTTAGACAATTTTATGGTTGAAAAGTTACTGATTATCATGATCTCGGCTTTCGTAAGTTGAGATTTCGTGGAAAATCCCAATTTCAAGCATCAATCAAAGTCAACTGCTATGAAAGAGGAACAGTCGAGTTCATTAAAACTTCCAAAGTGACACAATTGAGCATATTTTTGAGCTCATCCCATATTATCCATGGAATTGACACTGTAATTTCGTTAGAGCGCATTACACTGCTTACTACTCACTTCACCATTTCTTGCTGATATTGGATGGTAAGGATTTCCTGTACAGTTGGCATCGAAGAACTTCTTGAACCATTGCAGAAATTCAAAATTGTCTTGGAACTTCCCNCTGTAATTTCGTTAGAGCGCATTACACTGCTTACTACTTACTTCGCCGTTCCTTGCTGATATTGGATGGTAAGGATTTCCTGTACAATTGGCATCGAAGAACTTTTTGAACCATTGCAGAAATTCAAAATTGTCTTGGAACTTCCCTTTTATTAAGCGTTCCACTGGTACGGCCTAAAAATTCAGCTGGAATAACGTGTTGCACGTCATTCATATGAAATAATTTTTTGAATGGGCCTCTCGTTCACTCATGTAATCCTCTCCGAATCGTCGATAATTCGAAAACTACAATTAAAACATCAGGATGATGACAAGAAAATGCCGAATGATTGACTAGTGAGAGCCGTTCTGAACAACTAGGAATCTCTCTGGGTGGAATCCCTCAATAACTGCAATAGTATTTTATCATTCATTCGAAAGTTTTCATATAGTAACTGTTTTGAATGAGTGATTTTTGTTGAGAGAAGTATGCTGGGCTTTATGAGAAGTATGATGAGCACCTTCTCCACTCCAAGCTCTTTCCATGATGTTTGCAGAAGACGCCAATTCGAGATCCAGTCGAGTTCGCTTTTCGAATTCCACTTCACTTTTCTCAAAGGAATTTTTCCACGGAACAGGAAATCCGTTAGTTGGCAATACGCTGCACCCGTTGACATCTCTTCAATCCGAGAGAAGTTTGCCTGAAATTTTTTCAAAGGCCGTGAATTTCTTGTGATTATGTTGGAGTGAACATAATAATTATAAAGACTACGCGTTGTACACAATTATTATTTGTCTAGATTGATTCGTCAGTATTACGCTTGGACGCCCTAAAGAATTATCCGAAAGATGCACAGCC